TAAAGGATTAAAGAAAATGCTTTGTCAAACATTTAAAGATATTGTTCTTTTTAAGACGTTCATATAAAATGAAATAACTTTATTTAAAATACTAACCACAACGTAAAAAAGCAGCTTTATGTACTAGTTACTAACAATTGCAGAGAAGACTGATCTGTCCTGAAATGCAGATTAGAGATTCTCAGATATAATTTAATCAGGCTTGCTATTTGGTGAGCAGGCAATCCCATTGTGTTACAAGTTTGCTCTGTCTTAATTTATCTCAATTTAGAGTACAATCTAAAATATAATCTTAGGTCATCTCTTACTGTGACAGCAAGAGGCTTATTGTGAGGGGATATGTAACTCATTTATGTAGAAGTGTGCCTTGTAAACATTTCTACTCTCCATTCTTGCAGGCTGGGAGTAGGTGGGATCTTTTGATTTTTTTTTTTTATTTTTTTTTTTTAATCAATTGACAATTAATTGTGCTAGTTAAAATACAGTTACTTTTTTCAACAATACTGTATATTCTCACTTTCAAGTAAGACTTGGAACTTTTTGACATTAGCTAGTAAATACATGCGAGTTTGCAGGAGTAGGGCTTTGCTAATGAGTTTTGTTAGATTAGTTTTTAGTTTATGAGTATTGTGCTCAGGAACAGTGAGTTGAATGGGTTACCACTTTGAGTGAAGGCCAAGAACAGTAATGAAGTGATTTAGGTTGGCATATGGCCTCTTACTAGAATTTCTAGAAGTCCTGTTTCTGCAGTGCAGCCTTCTTTCACATTACTTGTGAATCCTATGGTCTGATAATAACTTGCACACAATATTCAAAACAATTTTAGACCAACTTCTCAGCATAGCAAGAGATAATACTCCTTACTGGGTTCTTTCAGTATTTACAATAAAATCATACACAAAATAGAATTGTATTTTTAATATAGTAACCAACTTCGGTGGTTATTTGAGCGTGGAAAAAAAGGCCAGAACTTCTCACTTTGGACTACCTGAAGGAGTAGTGGAGTTGTTCTAACAACCAATGTGTTTTTAAAGGACGGTGAACATTTTAAACAGCAAATTGGAATCTCAACATCAATTACACTTTATTCTTGAAACCAGTCAGAAAAGAATATAAAGAAAAATATCAGGACATCCAAGAACACACATGGAATGAAAGAATTCCCTACTAGAAAAAAAAAAATCTAAATATTTATTAAAAACAGGCAGAAAATTGGTAAACTAGAGTTGAAACTGTAGAACTCCAGCATATCTTACGTTGGACCCACAAGGATAACTGAGCCCAACCCCTGTCTTCACACAGCACCACTCAAACTAAAACCCTGTGGCTGAAAGCACTTTCTAGGCTCTCCCTGAGCTCTGGCACTGGGGCTGTGCCCATTGCTCTGGGTAGCCTGTGCCATGCCCACCACCCTCCAGGGCAGAGTCTTTCCATCACCACAATCTAAAAGGGAAACTAAGGCCAGAGCAGCAAAAAAAAAAAAGGGGAGGAATTGTTAGTTTACATTTTTTGTTCAAGTTCTACTAAAAAAATCTGTTAAAACCACACTTTTTGTTTGTTTGTTTGTTTTAAGTCTCAGAATATATTAGCTGCATTCCATTCTTTTATATTTCCATTTTCAATTCTCTTATTCCTAAGTAACTAAAAGAAGATTCTACAAAACATTACTTAAAACAATATTTTGAAATCCATTAGCTGCTAACTATTTAGATTTATTGTATAATGTAACAGGAAATTTTAACTCGACTAGTTTAGATGAAGTCAAGAAAAGCAAATCCACATTTTTTTTATTTTTTTTTTTTTACCCTAAATGCAAAATCAATACATTTACAGTAAAATTTGCTGTAGATAGATGTCAAAGTTCTAATGTCATCTCAGCTACACTATTATAAATCTACTTGCCTGGACAAAACAAATAGCAAACAAAGCATGGCCAAAGCATATTAACATCCATGTTCAAAATTCAGCCTGTTAAATTTAGACATTTGTGGATTTGGGGGTAAAGCAGATGTGGCACTTACATTAAGGCTCCTAAATTTCATTATATTCCTCTTACAAAATCATAAACCTTGAAAGTGAACGTGAACCACTGAAGCTGATGTTGAATAGATTTTTAAAGTTGGCTCACTAAAAATGCAGCTTACAGTGAGAATAATGAAATTAGTTTGGCAACATTTCAACATTAAGAAATGTGCTATGACTGCACCTCATCTATGATGTAGAACAATAACTTGAGTTTAACCTAGAGTGCTATCAATCAAGGCAGAGAATCCAAAAGGGATCTTTTCCCACCTGTATGAAAAATTCACCCATTTGAAAATTTCACCCTCAGAAGCTGCTTGCAATAAACACATTACTATTCCTGAATTACCTAAAGATGTTTTGCATACTCTGAAGTTTGAGCCCTTCATGCTGATGTGAACTGGATGCTCAGAATGGAATCTATACAAGAGAAGTGCCATGTTCTCCTATACCTTTACATAATTACAAGGCTTTGACTTTTCCTGTCAGTAACCATTACTGAAAACACACCATGACTGTCAAGAAAAAGTAGTTGACTCAGCAGTGATGTATATTCACGGTCTGCTGAATTCCAGGTGGACAGTGTTTCACAAACACTTCATTTAATGGAAAAAAAAAAAAAAAAAAAAAAAAAAAAAGCAATTCAGGTGAACATAAATGACTGATCTATTAGTCTTGAATTTGCTACAAGGAAACAATTAGAAGATATTTTCAATTCTATGTATAAACTTCCATTCATTTAGACTTACAACGACATTAAAACAACACTTAAGGCACCATTATTATGTTTCTTTGAGATAAATTCTGAAAGGTGGAGAGCATGTCCCAACCATTATTCAGTGGAATTAAAAGAATTTCCCTCACTCTGTTATAAGAAATCAAAAGCAGATACAGTAGCAACTTGTGGATGCTACATACTGGAAATAACAGTAATAGTGTTAATTATATCTGTCGACTGCAATCAATATTGCAGTCCCCACCCCAACGTTTTGCTCACTTCAAAATCTTTCATTTTCTTTATTAGATAACTGTGATACTTTCAAGGTACATTAGTGACATCAGCGTAACTGAGGATTACCACAGCCCTCCAACTGAGCAATTAAGCTGTAAATTTTCAAGGATGCAATTTTACTGGAAATTTTGGAGTATTATCTAATTTCACTCCTTGAACTCATTCACTCTTTCTACCTCCTAGATGGGGGGTATATGTATCCCTAGTGGGAAATCGGTCCTTATTCAGAAGGTACCCTAACCACAGAAACTTAGTCAACAATTTCATAATACTTGCATAGCATGGCTCTTATAAACACAAATGAAACCAGTTGAAAGAAAGAAACACCATTTTTTCATTGATATTTTTTGTTACAAATAACTCCTCAGTGGGTTAGAAACAGTTCAAGTGATTAAAGGGGCAGGGATTTTTCACATGGAACCTCCAGTGTTAAGGCTGGGAATCTAAGGATATTTTACACATCTGAGATCACAAACAGTTAAGAAAGTACTAGAGTGAAAGC